TAGGGGGCGAGTATCCATGAGAATTTCCCCCACGTAAAAAAAAAAGGTTTCGAATGATTTTCAAAGCGACGAGCTTAGATTTTCTCCACGTCTTTTCTTTTAAACAAATTTTCAAGATCACGTTCATCTAAAATGTGTTCACTTGGTACACTAACCGAGAAAAATCGCATTCTTATGGGATAAGCTAATACAAGTTATTCGTTTGATCGTCTTAAAAGTAATCTGAATATTTAAGTAAATTTTCAAAGCCACGTTCAATTTTTTTATGCAAAAACGTGTTCACTTAGTATTCGAGTCGAGAGAAATCGCATTCTTATGGGATAAGCTAATACAAGTTAGTCATTTGATCGTCTTAAAAATAATGTAAAAGTACAATAAGCTTGGCGAATCCTAATCAAAAGCAAGAGTAGACGATACAGAACGACACGTGACACCAAACTTTCGAACAGCGGTGTAGAGAGTTCAGGGAGTAGGGATTACGCAGGAACGAAAGAGTTAAAACGGCCAGGAGAAAACTTAGTTTACAGGATGGAATAGTTAGATGTAGGGAGCGCTGGTAAACGCGTAATGGGGGATAATCAGAGGAGGGAGAGCGCGTTAGCGCAAATTGAACTTACGCTTTTATGTTTCGTCGCCAGATTCGAGAACTCGTGCAACGGCATACCGTTGCGAATGGTGCAATAGCCGACGTAACTGCCGTGACCGCTGACGGAAGTGACCGTCGAGTGTTCCAACAAACTTCTCGACGGTGACGTCTCGATCGTCGACACGAGTCGCCTCTTCCTTAGGTACTCCGAGGGCTCGTCACCTGTGCGTGCATCATTTCTGTTAACCCTTTGCCGTTTCAATCTTTCGAGGAGAAATCTCCCGACTCGATCTGGATCATTCGATAGTTTTTCTTTAATCTCCAGTGTCTTTTCAGTGGGGCGTGAAATTTCTCTTCCAAAGAGAGTCATTGTAAGTATTAGTTCGCGAGATATCTTACTTAGGGATGCGAAAGGGTTAATATTCTGACTCGATCTCGATCATTCGACACTTTTTCTTTATCTCGAGTGTTTCTCTATTGGGACGTGAAATTGTTCTCCGAAAGGGAGTTAGTATAAAAATTAGTTCGAGAGATATCTTATTTAGGGACGTGAAAGGGTTAATACTGTGACTCGATCTCGATCATTCGTCACTTTTTCTTTATCTCGAGTATCTCTTCATTGGGACGTGAAATTTCTCTTCCAAAGAGAGACGGTATTAAAATTAGTTCGCGAGATATCTCATTTAGGGACGTGGAAGGGTTAATACTGTGAAGTAACGAGCAAAATTTGGAATTGAAGAAAATTCCTCAGACATTAATCCTCCAAATTTAACGTAAAGATTTTAGTTTTTATATTTATAAAACATTGTTCAGATCGGATCAGAGGATAAACGAGAAGGCGACGAACCGGTGATTTGCTGAGGTATAATGTCCGGATTCTTCTCGTCGTTTTCGCTTATGTCACCGCTGCTCTCGAGTTTCCTGAACGGACTGCTAGGATGTTTCTCGTCCGTGAGCAGACTGCTTCCTTCGCGGAACCTTAGCTCCCGTTGGATTGGGATCGTCTTCGTTTGTTTACTGTGATCCTCCATTTGAGACTTGCTCTGCTCGTCCACCTGCGTGTGCTGAATTCTAAGCACGACCACCACTATCACAGCGACGATGACCAGCGCGGTCCCCACGCCGATCATCACGCTCAGCATCGGCATTAGCCGCATATTTGGCCTGGGTCTCTCTGAAACGATCATAAATCCAATTTTTTTTTTCTTAATTTTTACTATTAAAGAAGTAGAATATCTCCATAATTCGCGTGTTTTCGTTATTTTCGCTTGGAGAATCGAGTAAAGAAAGTTATTCGAGTTATACTTTTGGTCACCGTTCGGTTCTCGAATCGACAGGTCAATATTCTGATATTTCTGCAATCTTCGCGTATACAATTTCTCTTTTGGTTCAGACGGTGAGTTAAAAGCCAGTCAATTCTATCGCAACTGGCAGTATCAAAGCGAAAACACGAGGGGGATGATCACGATTAATCGAAACAAACGCGAGCGAAGTTACTTTCGGGGCGGGCGCGAACGAACAGGCGGTTCACCGGTACAATAGAACAATTTCCCGCCACGGTGGATGAATTATTTCACGCACAAAGATCTCGTCACTACCACGAATCGAAATTCACTCTCTCCACGGCTCCCTCCCTTTCGCTCGGTGAGATTGGTACAAAGCCCTTTCGCGGTTCGACCCATTCACTCGTATACGAGAACGCTTCCAGTCGAGAGAAATACTGTTAGAAATGGAATAAACAATGAAAACTACCGAGTAGAGAAAGAAAAACTGGCGCACAATTCTTGTGTGGTTTTATCTCTCCTCGTTGTTACCAATCGTTACGTTGACATACGATGTTACAGGACACTTTAATTCCCAAGGGAATTTGTTACTTCGGTTAGCCACGATGTTAACCCTGAGAAGTCCGAGTAATTTTAATTAAACAAATTACTTTCTAAATACAGAAATTGGTTTACATAAAAACGAATTAAAGTTTGAAAACTTTGCAGAACGTTGTTTGACCATCCTTTGAGCTTTGCAGGGTTCAGCACGTTGCAGAATGGACTCGTTTGTTCTCGAAATTCAAGTTGGACAGTACCGATGCTAACTATATACGCAACCATGATTTCTGCTCACCTGACTCGGGCGTTAATTGTTTTTCAGGAAGCCTGAGGGTCCCTGCCTGCACCACCATCGCCTCACTGCGGCCTTTATTGTTGTACGCGTAGATGCAGGCCTGGTAAAGGGCTCCAGACTCCAGGTGAGTGACGCTGAAACGCGGCACCGGCGATGTCAGATTAGCACGCAATTGCTGGCTGTTGCTCTCCCTCACTTCGAGGAGAAAGGACTGCTTCAGGCCGCCGTTGAAACCCTCCGCGCACCTCACCGAGAACGAGTTCGTCGACGTGTTCGAGGTGGTGCAATTGTGAACCATATCTGGTCGACCTGGCTCAGACACACACCGGTTACGTAACCTTTTAACGCTGTTTCTCCTGCATTATCGCGACTTTTGTTATCTTTCCTCCCTTCACCCATTGTGCAGTTCGAACTGAATGCACGAAAATAATCGTAGGGCGGAGAGGCACCTTATCTCTAAATTTCACCTCGCTTCTGGTATTACTCGTTAGTCGGTTGCATTGAAATTTTCGTGGAAACCGTGTAGCGAGAGAATTTTCAACGGAAGTTGTATCTAGAGCAGCGCCGTTCAGCCGTTGCCCGTCCGGGCAGCGTCTCGGGCTTCCGCGGGCACGAACAAATCGGCGGGCAACAACGCGCGCTTTTCGGGCAAACATTTAAATGGTAACTATCGTCCGTCTTCAGAAGGACCTGTACCCTTATCGAAAGCGCCTTTTCCACACTCTGCTTTAATACGACATCAATAGCCCGCGAGTTTGCCCTCGGCTCTGTCCGCGGGCATCGGCGGGCGCCCTTGCCCGCCTAAAGCACAGCGAAACGACACTGATTTAAAGAGTTCAAGGTGTAATGAAATTTACTTTACGAGACTCTGAAAATTCGAACGATTACGATTTCGAAGTTTTCTCTGGGCGAAGATAGTGAAGCAAACAGCGGGGAAGTCATGAGCGTGTCGTAAATTTGACGATAAGTTTCGAAACAGAAGAAATTTCGTTTTTCGCTCGCTCTTAGCGTATCTCTTCGGTGCGGTAAGATAAACTGGCGACAGTTTTTCCCCTGCAACTTTGTTACGATCTTCCGAAACGTTTTTCGGTTCCTTCCAAGGAAATTCGAACGGTTCGAATTTTATAGTGGAAACGCGGGGGGCCGTATCGGTTTAAAGGGACGACGACGAGGAAACACGCGCGGATAGATCGGGAGGGTGAAATTCGTGACACGTACGCGCAATTTACGAGCAGAGGTGGGTTATCAATAAAGCAACGGCGAATTCAACAAAACTTCGACGTGCTTGGACAGCACGATATCGATCCTTCTTCCACCTTCATAATTTATTCTTATTCCAGGCAAATTACGCGTTCTTCCTCGCACACACACTCTCGAAACTGTAATTTTCAAGACTCCTGTGTGCGCGTATATTCGAACGACGAATTAGGTCGAAGAGAAGGTACGAAGGGTGAAATTCGCTTTAGCCTGGTCTATTGCTATAATAGGGGAAGCTGTTGCATTAAAGAATGCTTAATATCGGTAAATGGAGCGAAGCAATGGACGGATACAGTGTACTTTAATGGACGGTAATTGAAAATATAAAAAACTGAGCGAAAGGGCGGGGGCGGGGTTAGGTTGGCGAAGGCACAGTAAAGAGTAATTTCGTTGGCGAGATATTAGATTAACAAAGAGTGCAGCGCCAGCACTTTATGTTTCGTCTGCAACTAGAAACGCGTTTTCTTTATGGCAACGTAAACAAGAACGCGGAGGAGACTCTTCCCCCTTTAAACCTATTTGCCCGCGCTTCCGGCTATCGTTCTTTGTTTTACCGTTTCCTCTTAAAATTCGCCAACGATATAAACGTTTTGCACGGTGCAACAACCTCGTGAAAATGTTTCTCGATAACTTTCCCAAGTTTCTCGCGAGTCACGGTACTCGCGAAATGTTCCCCTTTTTTCCACCGTTTCGCGATCTGATTCCGGAATTTACGCGAAAATATCAGGCACCGTGCGAATTCGTTGGATTTCGGTGCTCGTAAAGAATAATTAGCGTGGCAAAATGTGAGGAGAGAAGGGAACAACGAAATGGCATCAAAGGGAGAACGAAAAAAACAAGCACTTGCTGTAATCACGCGGCGCGATTTTTCATTTCCTCGTTTCGCCTCCAGTTTCTCGAAATTCTGCCTCTGTTCGTTAGATCTCCGTCTTTTTTTCGAACACAACGATTAAATTCTTGATTAACTCTGTCTTCTATATACAGAAAAGTGTCTCTATTGTCTGCTTGGAAAGATGCTCGAGTGAAAATTTGTGTCTACAAGATACACTTATTGTCAACTGATTTATACACCTAATGCAGGTTTCCAATTTTTTCCGACCACTTTTCAACGATGACGTGCGAATGACCATTGTTTTTTTGTCACGCAACAATTGGATCGCTTCGTTAGATCGATGGCCACGTTCGTTGCAAAAAAGAAACATTCGTACACCTACATGCACACACAGACGTGATAACGAACTTCCGTTTTAATCCCCGAACTCCTCGATTCTGCACGCTGGGACTGTAGCTTTTGAAAAGTCAGCATAGCGCTAGCGTGCCAGGATTTTTTTTTTAATTACCATCGACCGCGGACGTTTCATTTCTCCGCTCCCCTCTGTTCGTTTTTACAACTTGTTCCCCTACCCTTGGCCGACGCGTTGCTATTGTACCTTCGTCGTACTTGCGGCAGGTAGTGATTTTCGCGGTGTACATTAACGGAGAGTGGAAAGATCGCGACGTGAAAGGTTTAAAGGGACTTTATGGCGCTCGAGGAGAGCAGAAATGGTACGATTGGTCGGTCAAGTAGAATCACTCCCTATCCGGTCAGACGGGTAGACCTAGCGCGGTATCTGATCGGACGAGTAGAAAAGACAGCGTCGTAGTGGACAGTGATACGGGTCCGCGCATTGTCCGACTAATCCTAGCGAAATATTTCAAGCAATTTGCAATTTGAATAATTTTATGCATTAAACACGCGTGTCAGAGAATTTTCATAGCCTCTGTGAGCACGATATAATTCCAAATATCCGCTCTTTGATTTCTTTCCTCGTACACTTTGCATAGAGATGAGATTAAAAATTCTTCAACCCTCTAAAGTTTGATCGAAAAACGAGTCCGCGTGTTTTTCGAGAGAAATCTGTGTGATATTCAGTGTGCACTGTGAATATTTCCATGAAATTTTTATAGTAACTAGAAATTTTCTTTTCGTTTGAACGGAATCGGTGATTAAAAGGATTAAGATCGTCTGACGAGAATTTCATGTGTTAAATCGGTTAATTAGGGGATGATTTTCGGTAATATCTTCGGAATACGTGGTATCGAGTGATCGATAATGATCGAGACGAGGAAAATAACGAAGGGGTGCGTTACATTGTCGGAATATTCGGTTTCACGCTGAACAGGAATTTCCATGATCGAATTACCACATAAAGATACCTCACCGGCCGGCATGATGTGATAGACGCAGGGCACTTGTTGATGTCCAATTCGATTGGTGGCCCAGCAGAGTAACGTGCCGTAATCCAATTCCGTCATGGGTGTATACGAGACGACCGAGGATGTGCCGGCCCTGGCGATATGACCGGCGGACACGTCGATACTCTCGGCGGAATTGTTGAAGGTCCAGCGGAATTGAACCTCCGGCGGGTTCGCGTCCACTTGGCAAGATATGTTTGCCTTTTCTTGTTTCGCCACCCCGTGCACCTCCGTCTGATTCGGTTTGCAGGTGGGCGCGACTGGAATTCACGATTTAAATCCCCCGAGTTTATTCTACGTGCTTGCTTCATGGCTTGTCTATCTTCTATTTTCTATCGTGAGATCGATGTTTGAACCTTTTCGTTTTATTTCCTTCGATAGAAGGAGGATGATCAATTATCTCTTTTTTAGTATTTAATAGTTTGATTCTTTAAGTAATTTTGAGCAAACATTGTACGAATTGCAAAATTGTCAAGGAAATTATGAATTGAATGATTTCAAGTATAGCTGAAATGGCAGTCAAAGTGCCAAAGAGTTTTGACTGTTTAAATAATTGCAACCGTGTGAAGTTACCGAAGGAATTAAGAAGTAAATGATTTCAAGTATGATGGAACTGGCGGTAAAAGAACGAAAGAATCACATCGACGATTTTCAACGAAACATTTACCACCGGGCAGAAATGTCTTAATTTGGCGGAGAAAAGCGAAGTTTCGCGTGCAATTGTTCGCTCACGAGAACAACGAAGATTGCACCGCGATAGTGGTTGATCATTTATTTAGGACGGCGACACGTACACATTACGTTCAAATAAAATGGAGAGCTTTCCCCGTCTCCTTCCGTGTTGTATCCAACGCAAGTGTAATTGCCTGCGCTTTTACGGTTGACGCCTTGTAACACCAGGCTCTGATTACTGATTATGATACCCTGTGTGATGTTGTGGTGAAGAGTTTTCCCCTGGAACAAAGGATGATTGATGTAACGCTCTTCACCCAGCAGAGATTGCGTTTACGAGTGCAACGATATATCAGGGCGTAAAAGAGTACTGAAATATATTCAGCGCGTAAAAAAATAGAATGTGAAATATATCCGTAAATCTATCATAATGTAAAATAAAGTACAATACAGTAAATTCTCTACAAGAGTCAGTAAGTTTGGATTCTACAAGTGACAGTATAGATGGTCCTACGCCTAGGTCTGCGTCATTGCTGCGCCCATGTTATCTCGCTCGCAGTCGGAGATTTCACGGCTCGACAAATCATAATAGAAAAATATAATTTCTTTAATTTTACTTTTTTTCATCTGGAATTTTATTTAACATCATGTTGGTGAGATTTTTCTGATGAAAATGATATCAAACACGATATAATTTGAACAACATTTACTTATTAACACGTTCACTGTCGCGCCAGATTTACAGGTTGCTGTCAGGCGGCCACAAGAAAATACATTTTAAGCATAGGATTATAGTATTATGCTTTATGTCTAGCTAGCTATGACGTTCAAAATTTTTAGTCGACAACATTTATTTTATTTTAATTATTCTAAACATTTGAACCACTCCAGTCACTGATGACCACCATGGCCATATCGAGGAAACAATCTAACGTTAAAACTTATTGAGTGATTAATTTAATTTCATAATATATCGCTTTAGCGAGCCACCGTTTGGTTGCCAATTGTTTATCACATAGAGTCGGCCTACCTCCACGTAAGAAAAAGAAAATGAAGGGTCGATTCCACAAGTGTCAGTAAAATGTAGTAACAGCTCGATTTATTTCAGTTTTATTCAGAAAGTGTAACGATAGAAATTATTGCAATAATGCGTAATGCAATTGAAAAATTGAAAGAATCAAAAGAAAAAACGCGAATTTATATCTTTTCCGATTCTAGAATATAAGAAAATTTGAATAAAATACGCGACGAGAATTGGGGAGAAGCATAAGTTAAACGCGTAAAAATATTCAATAATAAACGAACTAGGGATGAAGCTATTATTTCAATACGCGATGCACTGACGTAGTATTTACCTTAAATTCAAAAATTCTCGTATAAATTCCGAAAATAGATTATTAATTACGGTAAACTATTGAGACGGTTTAATTTAGGATGGGCATAGTGCACTCGTTTCAAATCAGGTCACAATATACAATAATAAATCAACTAACTACTTAACATGCAATTCATACAAATTCCTTGGACGGTAAATTATTAGTAAACAAAATTCAATATCAGAGAAAATATATGAAAAATTTCAAATTAATTTCAATTGCTGGAAAAAAAGTAACGAAAAGGCAACCTCTCAAAGTCATTTCAATATCCTATTCGACAAGTCTGAAGAACAACGATGACTAAAATTCAAATGTTTATTTCCCTAAACCTTCAAAATAATTTCGAAATATTTTATTCGAAGCGGAGTATTCCAAGTCAGTATCGATAGTTGAAGAAAGTATTTGATTGTATTTAAAAGAACCGAAAGGAGAATATTTAAAGTCTGATATTAAATGTCTAGCAAGTACCAGTAATTGGTAAACTGATTTATATTTGTTTTAAAAGGCAAATTTCTAATAGGTATTAGTTAAAATGAATTGTTATTCAGTCTATTGTATTGAAATTCTAATTGATTCTAACGTATACAAGTGTTACAAGAAGGCTGAGTGTGTACAGGGTGGACACTGACTCTAGTATTTACTAAAATTCAAAAATTCTCGCATAAATTCCGAAAATAAATTATTAATTACGGTAAACTACTGAGACGGTTTAATTTAGGGTGGGCATGGTGCTGCTTTAGTTTGAAATGATTTATAAACATAATTAACAGAGGAAAAACCGTGAAACGGCAAAACATCTACATTCTAATTGTTATAACGAGTAAACAGAACTTTAAATTTAGTGTAAACAGAAAAAATATATAATACAATTTATTTCACGGTATTGCAACAAATAAACGTTGAATCAATATTTAATTCGTATAAAAACAATTATTTAACGTAATAATTTTACCTTCACTATGGCTATTTTTAATCTACGACCACAGGTCAACCTGATTTCTAATCCTTACGAACTTTAAATTCAGTCTAAACTGAGAAAATATATAATACAATTTATTTCACGGTATTGCAACAAATAAACGTTGAATCAATATTTAATTCGTATAAAAACAATTATTTAACGTAATAATTTTACCTTCACTATGGCTATTTTTAATCTACGACCACAGGTCAACCTGATTTCTAATCCTTACGAACTTTAAATTCAGTCTAAACTGAGAAAATATATAATACAATTTATTTCATGGTATTGCAACAAACAAACGTTGAATAGATTCTTAATTCGTATAGAAACATTTATTTAAAATAATAATTTCACCTTCACTATGGCTATTTTAAATTTACGACCAAGGGTCAACCTGATTTTTAATCCTCCGAACTTGATTTCACAACGAGAAAGTAATAAGATCGTTGAAACGTACTTATTTGTCAAAGAAACTTGCAAAAATGTATAAATAATAATATGTAATGTTTTAACAAATTTTTGGAAGTATAAATTAATAATAAAATTGTGAAAATTAATAAATTATACGTTATTATAACATTAATAGAATTATGACTAAACCGAAGTTCGAAGTCGAGTATTTAAAGTCTGATATTACGTGCCTAGCGAGTGCCGGTAATTGTTAAAATTTGTTTAATAATTAGTAATAGAAATTCTAATTGATTCTAATGTATACAAGTGTTACAAGAAGGCTGAGTGTGTACAGGGTGGACATAGGCTAGCTAGTAGCCCCCGACCACTCTATTCACATCTCAGAACCTTCAGGTCAAAATACGCCGCGAAGTGTCTAGGGCCCAGTATAAAGGGTAAATGATTTCGCGGGACATCGGCGGGTCCTTATATACCCTCGGTACCCTCTCCCCAAAGTCATTAGCAAAATCGTCGGTTAGGTCAGGCGGGAAACCTTCTTTTCGCGGGAAACGGACTACTTTTCGCGGGAGATCGATCACTTTTCGCGGGAAATCGATAATTTCTCGCGGGAATCGGTCACTTTTCGCGGGAAATCCTTCGTTTTTCGCAGAAAATCGCCGATTCTTTCGTAATTCTATTTCGCATTCTATTGTAATGTTATAATAACGTATAATTTATTAATTCTCACAATTTTTTGGTATAAATTTATAACAATTTGTTATAACATTGGATATAACAATTTATACGTTTTTACAATATTCTTCAATGGAAACATACGTTTTAGCGTTCTCGTTACTTACTCGTGGTTAAATTAATTTCGTAGGGATTAAAAATCAAGTTGACCTGTGGTCATTTATCAAGAATAATCATAATAAAGCTGAAATTATTGTGTTAAATAATTTTTTTAATACGAATTAGGAATTTATTCAACGTTTGCTTGTTACTACTTGTTACAGTATACTGTCTCGCAATGTAAATTTAAGTAAATTAGATTGAACTGCACAGAAAATGCACAGAACTGCACAAATAATACATTTCACGATATTATAACAAACAAACGTTGAATACATTTTTCATTCGTGTAAAAAGAATTATTTAACACGATAAATTTAGCTGTACTATGGTTATTTTTAATCTACGACCACAGGTCAACCTGATTTTTAATCCTTAGCAAATTAATTAAACCACCAGTAAGTAACGAGGACATTGAAACGTAGTTATCCATTGAAGAAAGTTATAGAAACGTATAAATGATTCTATGTAGCGTTATAATAGATTGTTGCAAGTAATAAATTAAGAACAGAAATTTCCCGCGAAAAGTAATCGGTTTCCCGCGAAAAATAGTCGATTCCCGCCTGACCTAACCGACGATTTTGCTAATGACTTTGGGGAGAGGGTACCGCAGGTATATAAGGACCCGCTGATGTCCCGCGAATTTATTCACCCTTTATACTGGGCCATAGACACTTCGCGGCGTATTTTGACCTGAAGGTTCTGAGATGTGAATAGAGTGGTCGGGGGCTACTAGCTAGCCTATGTCCACCCTGTACACACTCAGCCTTCTTGTAACACTTGTATACATTAGAATCAATTAGAATTTCTATTACTAATTATTAAACAAATTTTAACAATTACCGGCACTCGCTAGGCACGTAATATCAGACTTTAAATACTCGACTTCGAACTTCGGTTTAGTCATAATTCTATTAATGTTATAATAACGTATAATTTATTAATTTTCACAATTTTATTATTAATTTATACTTCCAAAAATTTGTTAAAACATTACATATTATTATTTATACATTTTTGCAAGTTTCTTTGACAAATAAGTACGTTTCAACGATCTTATTACTTTCTCGTTGTGAAATCAAGTTCGGAGGATTAAAAATCAGGTTGACCCTTGGTCGTAAATTTAAAATAGCCATAGTGAAGGTGAAATTATTATTTTAAATAAATGTTTCTATACGAATTAAGAATCTATTCAACGTTTGTTTGTTGCAATACCATGAAATAAATTGTATTATATATTTTCTCAGTTTAGACTGAATTTAAAGTTCGTAAGGATTAGAAATCAGGTTGACCTGTGGTCGTAGATTAAAAATAGCCATAGTGAAGGTAAAATTATTACGTTAAATAATTGTTTTTATACGAATTAAATATTGATTCAACGTTTATTTGTTGCAATACCGTGAAATAAATTGTATTATATATTTTCTCAGTTTAGACTGAATTTAAAGTTCGTAAGGATTAGAAATCAGGTTGACCCTTGGTCGTAAATTTAAAATAGCCATAGTGAAGGTAAAATTATTACGTTAAATAATTGTTTTTATACGAATTAAATATTGATTCAACGTTTATTTGTTGCAATACCGTGAAATAAATTGTATTATATATTTTTTCTGTTTACACTAAATTTAAAGTTCTGTTTACATGTTATAACAATTAGAATGTAGACGTTTTGCCGTTTCACGGTTTTTCCTCTGTTAATTATGTGTTTATAAATCATTTCAAACTAAAGCAGCACCATGCCCACCCTTAATTAAACCGTCTCAGTAGTTTACCGTAATTAATAATCTATTTTCGGAATTTATACGAGAATTTTTGAATTTTAGTAAATACTAGAGTCAGTGCATCGCGTATTGAAATAATAGCTTATACAGATAATCTTTTGAAATTACTCTTAATTAGGGAAAATCTTGAATCTTGTATGGAAGATGAAGATTTTCAGGAAATATTTATTTTTCAACAATGAATTTTTGTTTTATCGATTAATAACGTACGAAATGATTTTTGGAAAATTTTCTTCGTTTGAACGTTCGTTTAAGGTTCGACTATGATTATCAAATCTCTCGAAACACCGTAGAATGTTCAATTTTAAAAGTAACTTCTTCAATTTTTGGATAATCTGGGTAACGTGTTAGTGTTGACGATACACTTTCGAGTATAGACGTTAAAGTTCATAGAGTGGTCGGGGGCTACTAGCTAGCCTATGTCCACCCTGTACACACTCAGCCTTCTTGTAACACTTGTATACATTAGAATCAATTAGAATTTCAATACAATAGACTGAATAACAATTCATTTTAACTAATACCTATTAGAAATTTTCCTTTTAAAACAAATATAAATCATTTTACCAATTACTGGTACTTGCTAGACATTTAATATCAGACTTTAAATATTCTCCTTTCGGTTCTTTTAAATACAATCAAATAATTTCTTCAATTATCGATACTGACTTGGAATACTCCGCTTCGAATAAAATATTTCGAAATTATTTTGAAGGTTTAGGGAAATAAACATTTGAATTTTAGTCATCGTTGTTCTTCAGACTTGTCGAATAGGATATTGAAATGACTTTGAGAGGTTGCCTTTTCGTTACTTTTCTTCCAGCAATTGAAATTAATTTGAAATTTTTCATATATTTTCTCTGATATTGAATTTTGTTTACTAATAATTTACCATCCAACGAATTTGCATGAATTGCATGTTAAGTAGTTAGTTGATTTATTATTGTATATTGTGAGCTGATTTGGAACGAGTGCACTATGCCCACCCTAAATTAAACCGTCTCAGTAGTTTACCGTAATTAATAATCTATTTTCGGAATTTATACGAGAATTTTTGAATTTTAGTAAATACTAGAGTCAGTGCATCGCGTATTGAAATAATAGCTTCATCCCTAGTTCGTTTATTATTGAATATTTTTACGCGTTTAACTTATGCTTCTCCCCAATTCTCGTCGCGTATTTTATTCAAATTTTCTTATATTCTAGAATTGAAAAAGATATGAATTCGCGATTTTTCTTTCTATTCTTTCAATTTTTTAATTGCATTACACATTATTGCAATAATTTCTATCGTTACATTTAATTCTAATTGTTTAGCAGCTCTTCTGCTGCTATCGCCCCTATATTTTACTGATACTTGTCGAATCGACCCTACATTTTTTTTTTTTTACGTGGAGGTAGGCCGACTCTATGTGGTAAACAATTGGCAACCAAACGGTGGCTCGCTAAAGCGATATATTATGAAATTAAATTAATCACTCAATAAGTTTTAACGTTAGATTGTTTCCTCGATATGGCCATGGTGGTCATCAGTGACTGGAGTGTCTCAAATGTTTAGAATAATTACAATAAAATAAATGTTGTCGACTAAAAATTTTGAACCTCATAGCTAGCTAGATATTATTTTTAATTGAAAAAAAAGATTATAAAGCATAATACTATAATCCAATGCTTAAAATGTATTTTCTTGTGGCCGCCTGACAGCAACCTGTAAATCTGGCGTGACAGTGAACGTGTTAATAAGTAAATGTTGTTCAAATTATGTCGTGTTTAATGTCATTTTTATCAGAAAAATCTCATCAATATGTTAAGAAAAATTTCGGGATAAAAAACGTAAAATTATAAAAGTTGATATTTAAATCGCTTGGTTGCCTCGACTCACGTTTAATGTTTATCTTTTATTCGCTGTCCTTGTCTACGTTCGGCAAACTACAATGGCGGGCGCGAGGCTCGAAAACGTAGTCCCTGACTCTACTAGTGTCAGGTTTAGCTTCCTTGCGGTGTGACATTTGTGGAGAATATACTGTATATGGAGGGCGTAAAAAAGTTCTTAATAAACCTATTGCGCTATATTAAAAAATTATTTTACCATTTTGAAAATTACTTAGAATTCTAATCTCAACTCGAAATTAAATTTTACCTAATTTCCCCTAAGTCTGTATTATTACGTAATTATTAACTAGATACGTTTGTTGTGCTTCGAAAAAATCAATTTTAAATGTTCAACGAACGATTCAAATCGTTCCATAAAACGTCCACGAAACGCCCATTCCAGAAACGCGTGTTCCATGGTGTTAGAGTGCAATTTTAAGCGCAGAATGTTGCTATTAAACCCCGTAACCCATGGGAAATATCCGCGTGCGCGTATCTCTGCGTGAGTCTCTCCATATCGTTCGTAGATAAAGATAAAGGGACTGGTTGCTCGCGATCGACGTTATTGCGGAACTTTGACTAGACCATTTCGGTGGAAGTTTCCTTCGCCATTTTCGTACTAATAGAGTGGCGGCCACCGTGGTTCGGGACTTTCTTTCGACACGCGTGCAAAAGGTAACGCGCCTCTACGTAACCGTTCAAACTTTTTGGAATCCGCTACACGCCTGGAACGGGCTGCTTCCGAAACTTTTTGATCCCCCGGAAAACAGGCTTTGTTTAAATTAGTTCCGAGATGAAAAGACGCCCTTCTCGTCTTTCCTCAGCCGTGAGGTTAATCCGCGAAGGAGGAACAGCGTAGATATGAGAAGGAGAGCTTGAAATAATTATGCGATAGTCTCCGTTCGAATTAGTATTATCATCCGAGTGACTTAATATTAATAGTACTTTCTTGGGAATGAAGGATAAGTTCTTTGAGTAATTGACAAGTTGTAATTGCAAAGATGATTAATTTTTCAGATCAGCTAGATATGATTTATTCAGCTAGATTTCGGTAAAGCTGAAGGATCAAAAATAGGTATAGTCGGTGGAAGAAATACAGTAAAAATTGACAGAAACTTGAGAAGATAAGCGCTCAGAATCTTAGGTAAACTTTAGCTGTGATTCAGTCCCAATTGAAAAACGGAAAATCGGTGTCGCTACTTATTTCTTCAATTTACGATCTCATCATATTTCTTCTATCGAGTATACACGTAATATCGCGCAGAAAGCGTTTCGAATTTGTACCTCATTCAGAATTAATTCCTCCATTGCAGTGTATTTAAAAAATTGTCTAAACTCTAATCCTTCATAGTTACAAATTAATTTTTACCAATACTGTAATTGTTATTAACCAAAAACTGACGAGGGCTTAATACAGTACATCTTCAATAAAATATTGCAAGCAGAACTTTGAAATATCGATTCACAAATAACGAACAGCCTTCGTTTAATCCTTCAATTTTCAACCTCGCTAAATTTCTTCCACCGGCTATACAATTGACATCCAGGATCGTCGTATTAATTACAAAACTGCTTACCAAGTGTCTCCATTCAACCTTGTAAACGGCCGGCTCCGCTTGTATCAGACAATCGAAATAGACGTCGGTGCCTTCGCGAATCTTGTTCGGATTCAACGAGGTGCCCAGCTGTATCCGCGTTTCCGGCGTGTCTGCAAATTGAAAACGTCAATATGTCGGTGGGCTTGGTGGGCGAATAATCGTAACAGATCGACACGGAGGACGCCGGCAGCCACTTCCGTGCTGTGTCTTTAATACGCTTACACTGTATCTCGAGTATCCAGCCGTCCTCTATCGGCTCAGTTCCCATGATTGGATTTTCAGCCCGACACGACAAGTGTCTACCAGCATCTGCCTTGGTCGCCATGAAAAATAAGATGCTTGTGGTCGTGTTCCTATCGCTGGAGATCTGCAACAACGTTACGATAACTTCCCTTAAACCACCCTTCCTTTTTTTTTTATTCTTCCCCTTTTTATTCCTCTCTGCAACATCGTGTCCACTTCGACTTTTCCATTTTCGCAAATTTTATCCTCGTCGATGTTATCGAGATAGACGTAGTGTAAAGGAACGTATTACCTTTTTTTAGAAGTAATTTCATTCATGTATACCGGGTGAGTCAGGTAAAACAGGCCACTTAATTACCTACTGTAGCTATTGCGGTAGGAGAAAATTTTTATACGTAATTTAAACGGTTTCAAAGGGAGGAAAATTAATTTGACGAGAAAAATGGGAAAAAACGAAAGGAAGCTTCATATTTTGATGTAACAAAAAATTGCTAACCTCGAAGACATGGAATTTACAGAAAAATTTGTCCTCCATTTTGTTCACCCGTTGAGACCATTTGAACGAAACGTACGTTGATACACCGGTGGTTCCACGAAGTTGGAAGGTTTTCGGAAGTTCAGACAGTGGTGGAGGAAAAGGAAACTCCCGAACTAAACTTATTTCCCCCACGATGATATACTTGAAAATGTTTTCTTCGGCCGTATGTAAGTACGTCTTAGGCCAGTTTCGGTAGTAAACTTGGGGATATTCTGTGTCGTCGTAACGGCCGATGTAGGCTTAGAAAAGGACGTTTCTGGTGCGTTATTTCGCGGGAATAGCTTAGTTTAGAGTCACCTTGGCCCAAAGTGTCCATAGACTTAGATAGTTTCCGGCGGATCTGTTTAGTTTTATGGTACGCTTTACGACACTGAACTCCCGGGAAATTGACCTGCACGTGGATGTATTGTAACAGAGAGATAGTTTAACCTGTCTCATTATTTTATATCTCACTAAAAACGAAGAAGAAGTCATAATCTCCTTTCGCTTGCAGGTCGAAATTCTTAAATTCAGCGGAATATTTTTAGAACACTCGGTTATCGTTCTTCGGAAAATTGCAGGTGAAAGGTCGTGGCGTTGACGGAGATATGACTTTATATTCTTTCACCGACTTCATTAACCGTAATAGTAGCATTTTAACGAAGTAGAAGAAGAATAAGAGAGCGACGAATCGCGGTATCTGGTGATTTATCGTTAGCAGTAGGAGCTCCGAAACTTTCCCGCCACTTTTTCCCATTATCGTTCCCAATGATAATACAGCAATATGTTATCATTAACCGCGAACGTATCGAAGGGTGGATTTCCACGAACGTTTCAGGGAAAATTGCCAAGTTTCTCTCTCTCTCTTTCATTCTCTTCACTCCTTTTTCCCCTTTATTCGATCTCTCAATTACGCCGGTTATCGCGCTCGTGCGTTTCGGTAAACAAAATGTTAATTTTACGGGCAAACCGAGTTCTCGTCGTTCGTTCACCCGCGCGTTATAAATTTTCATTTTCATCCAGCTCGATTTTTTCCGTCTTCCCGTTACCCGGTGTTAGTCGACGAAAATATAAATATTTGGAACACGGAGATTGAGAGACCGGTGGAAATGAAAAGGGAAGAGGAGGATGTAAAAGAAGAAAGGAGGAGGAAGAAGACGGCGAGGAGGAAGGAAACAGAGAAAATATTGTTCCAAAGTCGATGCTTCTCATTTCGCGAGACTTTGCTCCGCCGCTTATATAAGAAAGTTAAACAAAAGAGGATGAGGCGTAAGAAGAAATACGGGGAGGAAGTATAATCTATAGGAGTACGTCGGGGGAAACGAGATCGTTCTTCTTCTACTTTCTTCATCCTAGAGAATCTTGCAGTTCGGAAAGTTTCACTTTACGCTAACACGCTTACATCACCTAGTATCCTGCATCCATATTTTTTCTTACTCGATCCGACGAGTCGCGTCCAATATTCTTCTATTCCCTAGAAAATCCCCGCGAAATCTTCCCGCCTACCTTTCGGCAACATCAAGAATTCCTGTACGAAACGATCCACCCGATAACCCGTTTAAATTGCCTCGAAATCCCCGGCAGTATCCGTCCGGCCATTGTTTTTCGTCGAAAGACATTCGTCCGTGGGCTAATTAATCGACGGTCGTTGCAGTGTGCCGAACGCGGCCCGCCAATTTGCCTTAATTACGCGCCTGTAACGAGAGCGTAGAGTTTCGCCGTAGAGGAGCGTTATCACGTCACTGGTTTCGCTTCGATTTAAATTATTCCCCGTCTAATGGCGCTTTTAACGTGGCTTAAGCCGCGTGTGGGCCACCGGTGCCGCACGTGGTGATAACGATATCCCGGCACGCTATCGTTGCGCCACGACACAACAGAACAACGCGGACGTGTATACGCACGCGGCCGGAGGAACGCCTATTTTACGGTCTCCTTTAAGATGCCAGACACTGTGGCTAAGGATTACAAATTATGCTCAGTGCTCGGTACCTCCTCTACACTGGTAAATCGAATCTCACGCCAACAACCTTACGTTACCGCTCTTAACTCTCGCACGTAGGTTTCCACGCGACCGGTCTCTCCCGTTGGGTAAAACCGGGAGATACACGCGAACGGTCGTCTCGAGTTAGGTTCGTACATTTCTAGGTCTCTCCGCGAATCCCCCTAATTCTCTAGTTTCTCGAGGCTTCTAGTTTTACCAACCAGACATGTATATATCTCGAGCCGCGAGATATTTCACTGATTTAGAGGCAGGGGAGAAGAGAGGCGGCCACGATTTACGCTCGACCAGGGAATAGGCGGGAGATCGTTGAACGACCCATATTGTTTGTCCGTGGTTGTGCTTCTACTTACGGTCTTGTTCGACTCTATCAAAAGCTGGTCGTCCCTCCACCAGGTCACCCTGGCCGGCGGCCTGGAACCGGAAGTGATGCAGAGCAGCTCGTACCTCTTGCCCGCCGACAGCGGCTGGTTTGCACCGATAATCTTCACGTCCAGCGGGCTGACTGTAATTTCGATCATTTGCACGGTTATTGAGTGTCGTGTTTTAGGGAGCGGTGTAAATTTTCGCGTCCACTTTGAAATTTCTTCGTTCGATACTCGAGGTATCGAGGTACTTTTACTCTTCAAAATTCGCTGCCCCATTAGCTCTTTGATCATAAAAGGAAGCGCGGAGATTTCGTTTAAACAAGGAGGGAAAAAAGAAAAAGGACGTAATTGATGTACATCGAGTGGTCGAGGGAAGTATTTATTTTAGGAGGGGTATTCGGGTCAAACAGTTTGAATCAACGTGCGCAGTTCGAGCGGTTAAGGGTAAGTTTTGATTACCGTGAGTTAGACGGAAGAGTGGAAAAGTGGAACGGAAACACGGTGTCCGAGCGGAAAAGGAGAATTGGACGGTGTCTTATCAGACGGAAAGTGGTGCAGTGGTAGAATGGAACAGTGTGAGAACAGGTAAGTAGAATACGGCGACGCCTGAGCTTAAGGCAAGGTTGCTTGGCCAAACGAGTAGAATAGGAGAGCAGGTGGACGGACGCGTAAAGTAGGGCGAATTCGACTATAGATTCTACTTGATACGAATTTTCTCTAATCTTATCTCACGCTCTCTTACTAATTCGATAAAGAAGGAACAATCTGTTATCGACATTTTAGAAATTTTTATTCTTTTAAAACTGGACGAAAAGAATTCTTAATAAATATGTGTATATAGTATATATAAATTCCTGTTATATTTATACATCATGGATCATCTCCTATCTCTCCCTCTCTCTCTACAGTGTTATCGTTGCTTTTTACACGGATAATTGTTTGCGTTATCAAGTCCGTGGCATCGATTTTCCTTCCTTCCCCCTCGTCGTCCTTTATTATTTTTCCCCAGCTTTGAACCCCTTTGTTACGCTCTACATAACCCGCGATACGGCTGTTCAGATACAATCCGATAACGTAATAACTCAATTTAACCTTAATCAATCTTTTCCGCTCGACACGTCGTACATTTGTCCGGTTTCTCGAACGACTCGAAAGCACCGTCATTTTTTCCCTACCCCTGGTCACCGAAATTAGAGCAACGCGTAATTCTCCCTGATATGCAAGTTCAGAAAACCATATTTCCACCTTTCACACGGATACAAACACACACGTACTCGTGAAACACTCAGTCTCTTAACACACAACGAACCTATTTTACACACAGCGAGAGAGTGTACCTTCGCGCTGTTCTCTACGGTCACAGCCAAGCTTCAGAGGAAATGAAAAATCTGTTCGAGTCACGACAAATCGGGACAATTTAATTCCACGCGCGTGGAAAAAAACGCGACGTTGAAGCAGAAACTACGGAACGGGAAAGGGTATCTGTAATTAATCCTCGTTCCATTACGTCTTCACATAATTGAACGATAACGTCGCGAGCCGAGAATTAAGTATCCTTCTTCTACTTTTCTTTCTTCCTTTCTCACGCGACACATTCTACACACACACAGAGACTGTTCAAGCGAGCGTGTGTAGTTACCAGCGCGACAAATTGACGTTGATAAATTCCCTTTGTTATAAAACGATACATCATCGTTGCCAGGTCGCAGACGGTTCTCGCTCGGTGAATCGAGTTATTCAGAAAATTGCTCGTCCACTTCCGGGCTCTCCTTTCCGTTCTTCACAGTCTTTGCAACGTCAGCCTCGATCGAGCTCGTCGCACGCTCTCTCCCTCTCTCCAAATTCTCTCTCTATTTAGCCGTGTATCGGGAATTCCTGTCGCGCCTGGCCGTCGTCTGCTCACGTTTATTCGAGACAACAAGGTTTTGGATTTTGTTAACCGTGGCACCTGTGTTCGATGTTTCCTCCGTGGAGGTCGAGCCGCGCCTCCCTCAGGGAGGAGACGAAACGATTCCGCCGTGAAATGTAAAAATAAGCGTCGACTGGAGGAGGAGGGTCCCCTTTGAGCGAGGCTGAAGGAGTTCGTGTGACGATTAGCCTGGCGAAAAATGCGAGCGAGACGTGCACGATGCGTTTTCCCTGGAAATTCGGTTCCAGACGGTGGATGTTGAAGTTGTCCTCGCGTGAAACTAACGATGCTGTAATTGTAGCAGTTATTTTGGAATTGGTTTTTTAAATAGATCACGGGTGGTTAGTGGAGTGGCGGGAGAATGCTTGAGAGTTTTGAAGGAGGAAGCGAGAGCCGACTGCGACGCACGGAGGTCCATCGATGTGGCCATTTTGGCGGGGAAATCTCAAAATAGCGTGTTTTTATAGTGAGAAGAAAGAATGGCAAAGGAAGAGTTTTCTTGCAGATAGAGTTAGTGTTTCTTGATTCGTCTAAGAGTTGTATGAGTCGTCCAAGTGTTGCAGATGGAGTGTCGGAGATACAGTTTCGCAGAGAATGTTGTACGAGTCGTTTTGAGAGTCGTCAAAGTTATTTTAGAGTTGTAAGAGTCGTATCACAGTCGCCAGAGTTGGCTACCACTCGTCTTTGCATCACGAGTTGTGTCGAATTATTATTACAGTCACTCTGTCAATCCTCATTTGCCGCAAACCTCCACAACAAATTATTCCACGAAAAAAGCACCCTTGGCATTTTTCCAGGCAACGTTTTCAGTGAAATTTCTCGTCAATTTTCTTGTTAATTATCTCCGGGAAAATTACATTTACCATCTCACGATTCCCGTCGGTTTTTCCGAATTAAACGGAGATTCAGGTCTGAGAATTGACTGATTCCACTCGTATCTCCCCGGAGCGTTAGTATCGAGATTACAGCCGGAGAATAGATGTTCGTGTTTTCTTGGCTAAGGATGATGTAGTGTCTCTTTTACCATAATTGGCTTCAATCACAAAAGGGAGCGTCTCTGATCTTCCATCACCGGGTATCTCATAAATTTGTAACGGAAACCGGGAGGTATCAATTTTAATAAATCCCTGGTCCCAACACACCGTTGGTGTAGCGTAATTTGTCATTCGGTATGTTTTCGACGAAACCTGCTGTAATAAACTTGTAAATGTACGTAATTACATTTGCACGGTGAAACGATAGTTTATTTATAAAGTATAATAGGATATTCTGTCGAAATCGAGCGTAATATCTAGCGACACGGAGAGAATGACGTAGATCAAGACAGTTCTTCGATAGACAAGTAGAACAAGTCAATAACATATCAGACAAGCAGAACGAGACTGTGCCTCGCCAGATAAGCAAAGAATATCGTTTCTCTTGACTTGCAGACGTCCTCTAAAACATGTTTCCCTTATCATCGAGCTATTCTACTTGTTATCTCCAACAACTATGGGCAATGGGCATTTTCTACCACTCTTCAGGCCGCTGCGTAACTCAAGAAATATTAATTTTACACGAAAAGCTTTACATTAATACTTGAATATTGATCATATAGTATACTCTCGAGAGATCAAAAATACTGCAAACATCTCGAAATTCATATTTCTTGACTTATATCACCAGCAATTGATTAATACTTGAATACCGATCACATAACCGACTTTCCAATGTGAAATAATGAAATTAGATTAAAAATACTTACGGACCCTATTTCTGCAAAAATCTCAAAATTCACATTCTCCGAGTCACATACATCGCTATCAATGCCAAATTTTCCCAAATTGATTTTACACCTGGCGCACGCGAATTGGCAGAACGCAAGTTGCCGCAAGAGGAAAAATTGTTGAAATTCCTGTGCGGTGTAACAAGAGAGCGCCGCGTCGTTTTCACGTGGTGGCTGAACAAGGAACGAGGGAGAGAGCTAGCGAGCGGTTTTGTCGCGCCAGTGACCATGGATCTAACGTAGCAAAAAGGGGTGCTACGGGTAAACCGCTCGGAGGTTAGCAGACACACACGCGGATCGACCAGCTAATATTTCAAATATTCCATTCTGTCGTCGGCAGCGGCCGAGGGAGTAGTAGGCCATGCGTCCCTTCTGAGTTGCGGCCGTGGCTAATTTACATGACTTGCATCGGGCTAATTCGAGCGACGGTCGATAGCGCCTGATAAAGGGGTTGAAACGATGTTTACTTTATTATGTAATCACGGGGAAACTCAATATTGACGAAGGCACGCCGGAAGCGGCTTTAGAAACGCCTTATGGCTCTTTTAAACGCCTGCTGCTCTCTTCGTTCTATTCTTCTCTGTATACAACGTAAGCGGAAGCATTGTGCTCCTGTGTTGTTGATGGAGTTAGATACTCTCTCTCTCTTCCTCGAGACTTTCCAAGTTCCTTTGGCTTTCATCTTAGACGAGACGATTATAATACTTCAAAGAGCCCTATTATTCGTTCGAGAGAATTCGGAGATACATTTTTTTTAGTTATCGTTGCGAAAGGAGGAAGAATATTCACGTTGGATAGGATTCTGTGTTCAATCCCCTTTCGTAACTTACCGGACGTTTCTACCATGATAAATAAACATCAGGAGGAAAGAACAACTGGAAACTCCATTAAGGAACTCAGAAAGGACTAAGGTTGTCCTTAGACGTCTTTACTGCCTTCACGAAAAAAAAAAAAGAAGGACAACTTTAGATCCTATAAACGAATGGAGCAGGTTTATGGGGAAGCTCTTTCGCTTCTAGTTACGTTCAACTCGCTACTTTCGAACTCTTGCACGACGATGGCCAGTACTTCGACAGTGATCCATTTTGTCCTTGCTGCGTAAAATTTTGATACCCGTCGCTACCTTTTACACACTGGCATACGTTTTCGAGTTCTTTTATCGTCACGGTTACAGCCTTCTTCAATCAGCCCTGGAAATAGCTTCTTCACACACGAATCAGAATACCATCCTTTCCGTGGAATAAATTTGTAGAGTTACCTCGTCGTAGTATGGCAAACTTCGAATTAAACTGTAGATGTTCGTGCAAATGTATTGCTTTTTTTTTTTTATAGGAAACTGGTAACGAGAGGGACCTAAGGTAGAAATCTGTTTCGTTTTCAGAGGATTTTAATCATGTGCCGTTTATTTTGCATATTTCTTCTTTTTTAAGAATTTACTTACTGGACTTTCGACCAAGTTTACT